AAAATAGGTCTAAAGCTGTACTTCTAATTTCAGATGAGTTTGTAAAAGGTATAGTTAATAAAATTATTAATGAACCGAACATTGCAACAACTCCACCAATTTTATTAGGAATAGATCTTAAAATTGCATAAAAAGGTAAGAAATACCATTCAGGAACAATATGTAAAGGTGTTTTCATTGGATTTGCTTCAACGGTCTCCCAGAGACGATTGTCTCGGATCGAGACCCGCGGTTCACTGCTTCGTTTTGGAAAACACTGTTCCCTTTACTGGGAACTCGTCTGCAGATGTCCACTGCGGATCATCCGCAGACAGACGGCCAAACAGAGCGCGTCAATCGAGTGCGCGAGGACACTCTGCGCAGTGTGTACGCGGCAGCACCACGTACGTGGTCGACGCAGCTTCCAGTTGTTGAGTTTGCGCTCAACAACGCGGTGCACGCGTCCACGGGGTTCACGCCGCTCTACTTGAACGGCTTCTGCCACCCCAGAGTGCCTCTCACTCTTCGAGGAGACACTGACTCTTCTATTCTTAGTGGGGGAGAGGCTCGGAAAGCCCTTTCCTCCCAGGTCTCGGATGTGAGACCAGTTTCGCTGCGGAAACAGGTGGAATCCTTTATGGATACGAAGCTGAACATTGTCAGCAGGGTCCGCGATGCCATGGCAGCGGTGCAAGATAAACAAAAGGAGTACTCAGACAAACAAGGAAGAGGAAACTTAAGTATATTTGAGGTTGGGGACTTAGTGTTGCTAGACACGAGGAACCTACCTCTAGACACTGTTAGCTCTGTCGGCAGCAACAAACTGAAGCACCGCTTCATCGGACCTTTTGCAGTCCTGGCCAGACATGGTGCGTCGTACACCATCGACCTTCCAAAGTCAATGACGACGCACCCGACGTTCTATGTCGGACGTCTTAAGCGGTACTTTGACCCGCAGGGGGTTGCTGACTCGCAGTCCCCCCTTGACCCAGCTCCTCGAAGCGAGGGCCGGTCACAGTCGTCGACGAGGGCGTCGGAGCAGGCACCCAAGCCTCGGTCGGGACGGCAAGGCTGCGGTCAAGACCGTACGCAGGAGGGGATCCGTACGAACGGACCCCGGCGCCATACGCCGAGTACGCTGAGTACGCCGGGTACGCACCATACGCGTACGTCTGGGAGTGTGTCGCAGGGGGCTCCGGACGTGGCAACAAAGCCTCGATCCGTCGGATCATGCGAAAGGCCTCGTCCAGATCGGACGAAGAGGCCCGGCGATCCACCCGCAGGTGCAGGCTCGCGACCTCTCGCTCCACCAGGTCCAGGCGGCCCGCAAGACGAGCGAGCTCGCCCTGATTCCCGGCCTGGGCGGCAGCATTACCGCCAGTCCCAAGGCCAAGTGCAATCTCAAGCACGAGGACACGTTGACGGAGGCGGTCAACCTCAGGGTCCTGCATCGGACCCGCAGTCGGAGCACTCGGACGAGAGTGGCTCTCGGGAGGCGCCGAGCACTCGATCTCGTACGAGGGCACCTCCGCCCCTGCTTGACCGGAATGGAGAAGTCCACTTCCACGTGGAGCGGATCCTCCAGGAGCAACGGTGTCGCGGTAAGCGACAGCTCCTCGTGAAGTGGAGGGGTTATGCCCACTCCGAGAACTCGTGGGAGCCGATTGAGCGGCTCCTGATTGACTGCCCGAAGGCTGTCGCAATCTGGGAACAGAAGCGGCGGCAGCTTCATAAGTAGTCCGGGGCTTCTTGCCCGAACGGGGTACGGACGATGAATACATACCGTACCCGCGCTCATCGTGAGCGCTAGAAGCCGCGCGCTTCAGGATGTCCCTTGGCAGCATACGCTTGCTGACCAAGTGGGCAAACCTCACACGAAGATCACGCTGGTCCAGAATGTGGGACAGCTGCTGATCTTCATGGAGTTCCCGTAACTCCGTGGGTGAGTACTTGAGAGTCTCCACCCACGCCCAGAACATGTCCTCACAAGAACTCCACGTGGGGCAGTTCTCGGGCATAACCCAGGGGTATCCCCAAACAGGATAGAGACCACCCCGGGTCTCGGGCTTCTTACGACAAGTCGTGAAGTCCTTAAGGGGAATGCGGTGTGGGGCGAGAAGCACACACCGAGCAGCCTCCAAGTTGTCGACGAACAACTGTTCTTTCTGAACAAGGGCTCGTTCATAGACGCCCCTAGAAGTGTGGCCGCCCACAAGGCCACGAGGAGCGACGAGGACCTCTAAGAAGAGGTCAGCCCCAGAGCTCTCCTCGGGAGGCCAATACCCGCTTGAGTTGATGGCATCTCCCTGGCTGACGGGTGCCGCCACCGAGCCCCCACGCACACGCTGGGCAGCTTGGAAATCCTCCTGCTGCTGGTTGAGGTCATTCGAGACCTCCCGGGGCTCAGCGATAGCACCCTCCTCCTCCTCTTCTTCCTCCTTCTCCTCCTCTTCATCCGAGGAGCCGAAGAGACTCTGATAGGAGCGTCGAGTCTCCTTCTCCTCGCGGAGTGGTGACTTAGAGGCAGTACGCTTCTTTGAGAACTTGGCGCCTTCGGCTTTAGAGGCCTTAGCACGCGCAAGACCCTCGGCAAGCGAGAGACGTTTGCGAGGATTCTCTTCCTCATCGCCACCAGCTTTGGGAGCGTCCTTAGCCTTGGCGGCCGGACTCTCACAGCGCACAGAGGTCCTAGGACTGTGATCACCTTGATCACTAGCAAGCGACTGCACGCTGTCATCTTTGTGTTCACTGGGCACTGGGCTGTGCCCTCCCCACAGAGTCCGCAGGAGCATCGTGAGTGCTCTCGGACTCGGCATCGTCCTCACTGCCCGAGTTGAACTCATGTTCCACGAACCGAGGGTTCGGACGATTGTCTGAAGATGAGGGCGACGGGCTGCGGCGCTTGCTTGCGCGCTTGTCCACAGCCGCGTTACCCGAGGAACCGATCGCCTCGGAAGGCACCTGAGTAGCCTCCTTGAGTACAGAGCCTTTGCCGTGAGGTTTAGTGCTCTTGGCTTGCGCCTTACCGGCAGCAGCCTTGGAGCGTGTCTTAGCACCGCTCTTTGCAGTGCCACGAGGCATGATAACGGTCGAAGTGGAGACCTAGACGAAGAGCGCACAGGTTGCTGCTCGAGGCTCTAACTGTGAAGTGAGCCTCCGCCGCGCTCGCGCGGCCAAGTCGATGGTTTTCGACTTTGAGAATGAGAGTTTGTGACGAACACCTCTTCATTTTGATTGGTCGGTAAACCGAACCTAAGCGGAGGAGGATGTAACGGGGTACGTAGCCCTAAGTGTACCCTGGTTACATGAAGTATGACACTTCACACTTCAGGAGTATGACACGTCACACTCCGGGATATTTGGTACAAGGTACCAAGGTCGTTCAAAGCCAACCATTGGTTAAATGACATTGCATTTCTATAGGTAACTAATAGTTTGTTTTAAACCCAAACTTAACCTACCTATAAATATACTCAGTTTACAATCTACCTTATTTAGGTCACTTCGCTCTCTTTAATTAAAGAGGGGACCTGTGAACTGCCGTTCACTGAGAGTTTGTATACTCTCGGAAGATAACTTCCTCTAGCGCAAGGTGCTGTGTGACCCCGTCACAAAGACGACTGCGTCTTGGAGCGACGAAGACGTGGAAGAGCTATTTCGTCTTCGCTACAAGGGACTGGTGAATCGTTTTAAGAATACGAGAGACACGAAGCGCATCAAGTATGCATGGGCACTTCTTGCTTCAACGCTCTCTGTAAATCAAGGGAATGTGTTCACGGATCAGCAGTGCCAAGCTAAGGTAACGTTCACTGGAGTACTAGGGATACCCAAAGCTTGCTAAACCGCTTGTATTGATACAGATGAAGAACATGAAATCGAAGTGGGCGTCGGCGCGCGAGGCAGAAGGACGCACAGGCAACGGTGGCCCAGTGAGGCACCCAAAGCAGTACACTATCATGAAAGACTACTGGGGAGATGCGACTGGGATGAACAGCCGCCCTTATTTAAGCACGGAAGATTCAGACACTATCTCGACAGTCTGTGAAGCTACAAGTGGCGACGCCTCGATGACATCGGATTCAGCCTCTTCCGAAAGGCATGAGCGTCGCACCTTGTCAGAAGCATGTTCTGCAAGCTCAAGCAAGCGTGTGAAGCGTGTGCGAACGCAGGGTGAGTGTGTCGAAGCTGGCTTGAGCGCTGTTGCCAAAGGGTTTAGTGAGGAATTGGACGCAATAGGAAAGGGGCTTGTATCCGTGAGGAGCGAAGGGAGCGAAAGCCTTACCGTTATGGTGCAGAAGCAAACGGAGCTGCTTCGGGAGCAGAGCGAGCGTGCCCATGCTCAGAACGAGCAATTACTCAAGCAACCTCAGGCTCAAAGAGAACAACTGTCCATACAAAACGGTCATATCAGTGAGTTATTAAACTTGCTTCAACGTAGTCGTTAGCTACCCTAGTTAACTATCTCACTCAAAAGCCTCTGTGAAATCCAACAACGATTCACGTTTTCTTGAACCAACTTCTCTTAGAAATCTCGCCGCTGCATCCGTTGCAGTAGAGGATGCAGAGTAGTCTTCATCGATATTGATATCACTTATCTCTTCTTCTTCAAACGATGTGCCGTCCTTGATGTCGAGTAAGATGTTGTGGAGCACCATTGTAGCGGCGATAATATCAACCGCTTTTTCAACTGCTTTCGTGTTGAGGCAGCAATTCACGGTGCGGAATCGGCCTTTCCAAAGACCAAAAGCACATTCAACCGCCATTCTTGTCCTAGAATGCAGATAGTTGTAGCGTGGCTGCTTACGTGTTAAACCAGCTCCGTCATTTTCCAGATAAGGCGTCATTATAGCTGGGCATATTGCGTAACCAGCATCCCCCAAAAAGTGTGCTCCTGCAGGAAGATATCGCTGGCTATGTTTGCCCAGTACGGATGCTCTCCACGTTTTCGGGTCGGACCACGAGCCTGGACGAGCCTCCACACTCATAAAACGCATTTGAGCACTTACAACAGCCTGTAGATTTAGTGCTGGAAACATCTTTCTGCAGTAGTACCCCTCGAAGTCGTCTGGTCGGTTAATCTCCATCAAAGAACCGTCGATAGCTCCTACTACGCCCGGTATCCCTCCTTTGGCTTTAAAGGCGCTCTCAATTCCTGTCCAGTGTTCTGGCGGACGAGGAAAATGAACGAACTTACGTAGCGACCTTCTCAAAACCCGAAGAAGAACTCCAATCACATCAATAGCCCACGACTTCGAAATTACGAATGCTGCAGTTGTTTCACGGTAGCCACCCTGCGAGCCAAAAAAATAGTGTAGGCACGCCACTTTTTCTTCGAATGAATGATCTTTGACGAAGCGGTCAAGCTCGAACTCGTGTAGCTCGCCACGCAAAACATCACTCAACCGTACAAATGAATCCTGGCCACACCTCAGATTCAGCCGAAACCACTCGTCATAGCGTGGGTCAGAAAGCATGGCGCTGAATTCGAGACCTGTCAGCGTCAGAATATTTTCGTGAGGCTTGGGAAGAGTGCATGCAGCGGCGTCAGCACACGCGGCAACAGCTCCTGCCGCTGAAGTGACCGCTGCTACGACAGTATCCGCCACGCATTCGCCCGAGTCCATGTGAGTCACTATTGCAATTCTGTACCACTAAGACGATCGTCTCCAAAGTGAGACTGGTGATTTACTCGTCTCATTTGAGCGGTTTGAAGACGATCTGCTGAGACGATCGATGCCGCGACTAGCCAATCAAATTCAAGAGATTTTGTTGACACAAAAACCAAGACGATCGTTCCCCGACCAGGCCCTTATGTGGCTAACGCAATGTCTGTAAAATTAGATAACCTGTTTAAATCGTGCTAATAGAGACCATTAGCTTCTGGAATAACTTGGAATAAGGTCAAGGAAAGAGGTACAAACCAAGAACTCGTAAAATGTTATATGCCGGGACTTAAAGGCACGAAACCAAGAACTTTCTATTACCCACTAAATACAATCATATTAGGGACGGATGCCATGTCGTGCAAATCCTTAAAGCCACCAGCAGCGGCGGCAACATTATCACCAAAGTAGCGCCCTGTATGATCAAGGGAGCACCAACACGGCTCTGAATATAGCTAGCTAGGTCATGCCAAACTCTGAAGCCCTTACACTTTAAAGCACAAGCACGGATTCATTAATCTCCGTTTTGGATGAGGCTGCATCACCTTTCCTTTTGAACCCTAGCCCTGTTTCCTGTCTTTATCCAGTTCCATATTGGAATAACGAGTATCTGGACAAGATGAACTGAATAAATGACGGATAGAGCGATATTTTAATAATACTTTACCGGTATTATTGGGATTTTCGTCAACATTTGCCATTTTTGCGGGATTGCCAAAAATTCGACATCAAGTAAACAGCGTGAACTGATCGGAGAAAATGTACTTACTTCGCTGATTTAGTGCCACATACCCCAGCGCGCTAGAAGGAGGTTCCTTGACAACAAAGCGCTCGTACGCGACGGCAAGGGACCACCTATCGCCACTGCGCGACTGAGGAGGACCAAGAGGTACAGCAAGGAGGCCGTTGGAGCTGCGGTAGTAGCCCTGTACGAAGAGCGAGACCAGAATCGACAAACGAAGGTACTGATGCAATGTCTAAGGTGATATTAATCTGCAACTGGTTTTAATGGGATAAGTACTGTCTATACATGTATATAATTGTACTGTACTTTAGAACAGGACCCTCTAGCTGCCAAGATGGAAGAGTGTTTGGCTGGGCATGCTTCTTAAGCAGTATACCCAGTCAAATACGGGTTTTCACTGTCTATAAGGATTCTATTGTCTTGGGTTTTCGCGCAAAGAGCTTGCCCAAATCTACAGGAAGTCTGTAAAGACAATTAGAACTGTCTAAACGAGTATTGGAGCTCGGGGACCTATCAGCGGGCTGGCTCAAGCACTGTTTGGAAATTTACATCGGCTCACCAGCAGTGGTTTTGCGACTTCTACGCTAATCACCCGCTGGCTTGCCTCGATGAGGCTCGACATGCGCTCATGCGTGCCCATCATCTCAGCATTTCGTCTGGAAACTTATCGAAGACGCTGGACTGACAAGAAACGTTCTTGAGAGGCGAGCGATGCACATCAAAGATCAGGATGCTTTTCAAATTGTAGACGAGCTTGATTGGGGATATTTACCTCCAGGCTCCACAACGAAGCAGCTCAGACTCCACAACGAACGCACACTCTCCCATTGGCTAAAATACGTCCGTTTCAAAAGTTGTTTTTAGGAAGATAGGAGTACGTAGCTAGGCACAACATACACGAATTCGCGCTGGAGAAGTAAGATGCCGATTGACTTATTGGGAGAGTATGGCTACAGCGATATTTCCCTTCACATTGCTTTCGCAAATGCTGATATTGCTGGGAAATTTATCAATGACTCTGCACTGAATACAAACAAGTCTGTACGGCTCGAGAACAACCAAAACTTGAAGGGGTACTTGAAGCAATGGTGAGCCAGACTCTAATGAACGCCACTCAAATGCTGCTCCGCGAAGACGAGGCCAGCGTTGTATTAGACTTGATCATTGAAGAGCCCACGTTGGTCCTCCCATTGAGCTCGGAAGGTGCTCCTCATGTTAAAGTCACTGCAGATATGCTGCGGCTTGCCCACTTTCCATCCAGTGTAAACGTATTTCCGATTCACAAGGTACGACACAACTGCGTATAAGTCCAGCACATTCATAATTAACCTCAGCGCAGAATTTAATGCAATCACTACTACGTACTCTGTCTTGACTGATGCGGTAGACCCACGAAGAATCGTCGCCTTGATGGTGCAGCGCAGGAGCAGCACACCCCATATTCCCAGCTCATAGCACTCCCAACACACTAGACTAGGTCGACTCGCCGCACTGCACGCGACTCCAGTCCGGATGCGCCAGGACACAGCGTCAGATCTTCACGAGCTCCAGCAGCACGTCCGGGCTCCAGTTGCGGCCGCTATCGGGCAGCAAGTCCTCTCCATTGACCTTCACGTCCTGCAGGTCCGTCATGGGCGGCGGCAGGACTTCTGTTCCGAAAAGGGCTGCTGCAGCTGCAACGATGCATGCTGGAACGCGTCGACAAGGTCATGTGTACGGTGGTCGGCCTTTTTGTAAATGGCAAGCAACACGTACGGACGTATTTTAGCCAATGGGAGAGTGTGCGTTCGTTGTGGAGTCTGAGCTGCTTCGTTGTGGAGTCTGGAGGTAAATATCCCTTGATTGGTGCTACAGCAGCTTAGGGTTTCTTGATGAAATGTCGCTTGACGACCGCGGGATGATAAAAAAACGTGGATATTCGTTTAAAGGGCAAAACCTAGCAATTTAGGGTGATTTCAGCGTAAGCCAAGCGTTTCTGCGCTGGGGTTTCTATGTGTGACTGACATTACAGACTATTATAACACACAATGAACATTTTGTAACGGACCGTACCGTGTTGCAGACCACAGCACAGCGGGTCCAGATGATGATAATGGAGCGCGGCAGAAGTGGCACGTGGCGTGCCAGAAGATCACCGCGTACGGGGATGTCGGGCTCTATGAGGCAGAGCATGACGCTGGAAGATGTACAAATGAAGACCGTGGCATTGAAGTACAGTGCGTGCCTGCGCATCCCGGGAGATCCAGTGCGCCAGGTGCTAAGAGGCGGTCTTCGCCGCTCACAAAAGAATATGCGCAGTAGAGAGCAAGTGGCTCTGCTCGGTGGAGAGCAAACGAATCATCTCGGTACTGCGCAAGTGTGTGTGGCCTGCTGAAGCGGGCAGTGCGCTATCGAGAGGTCGCAAGAGTTGAGGCGAGGCGGCATGTGCTGACGGGGAATCCGTCCCGTCGTGGAGTTTGTTGATTATGGCGAGGCGGCGCGTGCTGACGGGAAATTAAACCCGCCGTTGAGCTTGTTGGCGGTGGTGTGCATTGACGAAAAATCCCGTGTGCACTGCTTGAGTGCTGGGGCGCGTACAAGGGCGCGTGTGCACTGACGGGGAATCCAGCGTGCGCGTTGTCCAAGGAGGAGTCCGGGTTTAGTGTGTAAGTTGCGTTAGCAACAGCTTATTGTTGATTAATAAAGTAGGAACGGGCACAAATGGTGAATGTTTCGGCGCAGGGTCAAGTGGATCCTGTCGGCCAGTGGTGTCTATCATTTAGTAAAGCTACGAAGTCTAAGCGAAAGCGGACGCCGTACCGCAGCACTGTGGAGCAACGCCTCGCCCCACGGCCGGACGAGAAAATTGGCTCGTTACATGGTGGTCATACAGGGGCCTCACAACAACATTACGAGTGAGCAACGAGCAAAGATAACGGTTACTAGACCAATGACAATGTCCTCACCTCCAGGGGCTTCGCCGAGAGTCCCGCTAAGAGCGAGGCGAGGTTGACACGACGAAGTGCGTCAGGCAACAGTGACGATCGACGGAGTGACGCAGAGAACGAGCCGCCCACAGGCCCTGTGACCAGGCCACACAACGACGGATCGCGTACGGTAGTTGTGACGCTGGACACGGAGAAGCCAGCACCGGCGAAGGCGAGAAGCAAGCGTACGGCACACAAGGCCGCTCCGGAGCACCGTGGGGAAGAGCCGCATGGGCGTGAATAGGCGTCTCAATGGCGACGACTCGCGAAGAATTGGTGGCGACACCTCAGCTGGATGTAACGGCGATGGTCACAGCCATAAATGAGCTGAGAGCGATGGTGGCGCGACTCCAGCCTCCAACCAAAGATGATGATCGCAGTGGGCGTCATCGCGAGCAACGACGCGACGGCGATGCAGCTGTACGACGTCGCCACGGTCGGGCTGATCGACGAAGCGGGGGCGACGGCAACGGTTCGAGCAGCAACGGAAGAAGAGCAGTACGCCGTGTGCCCATGGCCATGCATCGGATCCTTCGAACGACGATGGCGGTGGCGGTGAAGGAACTGGGCATGCTAACAGTAGTGCCGACAGCGATGACGGTGAAGACGACACTGCTTCCGAGGGTTTCCCCGACAGCTCGAGGGACGAGAGCAGCTCGAACAAGGATGACGGCAGTGGGGACAGTGATGAGGAAAGTTCATCCAGCTCCGACAGTGAGTCGGACAGAATGCAACGGTAGCATGGCCGGCGAGAGCGGCGTGGACGGCAACGGCGTGATGAGCGGCGGGGACGTGACGGGCGAAGCGAGCAGCACGAGCGACGCGAGTGGCAGCCGAAGTGGAAGAGTGTAAAGGACAAGAAGCTGCCCACCTTCACTCCATCACCCAAGGTGTCGGTGTCGACCTGGAACGACAGGGTCGATCTGGCATTGCGCGGTGCCGAAGAATCTGGACGTGGTACGTGGATGGACCGAGCGCTGTACTTCATCCTGGGGAACAAGCTGATGAAGAATGCAGCACGGTGGTGGGTCGATATATGGACCGCAGGTTGACGGATCATAGACGAACGTGAAGGTACCTAAAGAAGGCGTTGTTGAGACGCTATGGCGAGCGACTTGACAAGTTGGCCGCCGAGTGGCGGGTGAGCATGAGGCGTATGATGCCCGGTGAGACGTACGCGGACTTCGCGGCGGCACTGCGCGAGGAGGTCGGCAAGAACACGGTGCGTGAGCGCGTCCTGCTCGCCCAGTTCTACCGGTGCTTGGACAGGACGACCAAGAAGCTTGTGCGGCAGCCACCAAAGCCGAAGACGCTGGAGAGGGCTGTGGCAAAGGCCACCAAGACCGACGACCCGATGGACAACGTCGCACAGGGCATGGAGAACATCGGGCACGCATGGGCAACAGTACAAAGCCCGTACCTCACCCCGATGGCGGTGACCATTAGTCAGACGATGGTCCTCCCAGGAATTGAGGGTGCTGACCTGCCGTCTGGTATCACGGCGACGAACCACACGGCGATAATGGATGGGGACGGTAGAGCTTTCGCGCTCTTTACTAACCCTCAGGGTGTGTAGAATGACTTCTCTGGTACATGGGATGTTTCACCTGGGCACGTGTGGAACGGGAAGTACTAGGTGGAGACCAAAGCTGAGTAAAAGAGAGCGGCGAGTTCCCAACAGGCCGGTGAACGGAGCAGTGCGAAGAAGTCGGAGAGGAAGTCGCGCGACACGGACGACAGCGATGACGAGTCGGACGTGAAGCCCGCATGAAAGAAGCTGAAAGCGGCTGTGAAGCAGATGCAGCCGTCGGGGCGACAGACAGAGAAGACGCAACTGGTTAAGAGCGCGAGCCCTGGCCCATACCCGTGCTGCAACTGCGGCCAGCCAGATCAGGTCGGCGGCCTGCCCGAACGAGCCGAGGTGTTATGCGTGCAAGGAGCTGGGTCTCTTCGCGAGAGCGTGTCCAAACACGGAGGCGAAGGCACGAAGCGACGAGCGCATGAAGCGAAGCCAGGCACTGACTAAGCCGGCGGAAAAGTAGTAACGAGCGCGGTGAGGGGACCACGGGGTCGGTGTAGACTGGTGACGATCCCATATGGTCGACGACGAGCAAGTGACGTCGACGGAGGACAAGAAGGACAAGACAATGGGTACGAGCACCAGCGTGGACGCCGTGATGAAGTGCATGAAAGCGGGCGCGTTGCTGAAAGACAACGAGCGCGCGCAACGCTACGTGAGTATTGTGAGGTCTGCGATGGCGTTGGAACGGTTTGTTCGTGCCACTACCGAAGTGGAGCCCAGGCAAGTGGTGGGGACCAAGGACGAAGGAATGGTGAAGCCGGCGACCGACGGAGAAACGAAAGAGCGGAGAATGACGCCGTGATCGATCCCAGAGCGACGGACGACGAGACGAGTGGAGCAGGCGGCGCCATCGCACGAGTACGGCTGGCGCACCCGAAAGGCACACAAGGACAGTAAAGCTGCTGAAGGCTAAGGGGTCCCTGGAGCGTCGACGTATCGCTGAACTAGTGATCGAAGAAGAACAGCGGCGTGTTGACGACGAGCGACGAGAAGCGCGTCGCAAGTAGCGGGAAGAGGCAATGAGACAAGCAAATCGACGTACGGCGCACCGCTCGAGGAGGCGCTGTATGCGCATTTGGTGGTGGGGAACCAGCGCGCGTGAGCCTAGTACAGCATGGCGACACGATACGGCAGCAGCCGGAAAAGGCGAATGACGTGGAGTACATCGGTGCTGACGATGGCCTTCCGACGGCCCAGATGGAGGTTGACGGTGTGTTAGGCAGTGTCAAGCTCGACAGTGGCGCTCGATACACTGTCGCTGACACTGAGTGGATGCAGTTCGGAGATCGAGTGGAGACACAGGCCCCGGCTGACTACGTGGAAGGTACTGGTGGCTTCTTGCTCGACGTGGTCGGTGTGTGGCACTTTGACTTAAACCAACGTGTTCAGCGAGAAGATCTGTGTCGACGCATGCGTTGTCGACGGCTGTACCGACTAATCTCTACTAGGTGTTGACTTCATGCGTAGCCATGATGCTACATGTACCATGGACTTCCACAGTACTGACGTCAGGTACAACGACGAAGGACGACGCGTCGTGATACCATACAAGACGTACGAAAAGACGGGTGGTGCCAAGGTCGCGGTAGTGCGTATGGCAAGAAGGGCGCAGTTGGGTGGTAGCACGGTGACCCCAGTTGAGGTGGCAGTAACCGGGGATGATGGTCTGCAAGGACCGCTCGTACCCACTCAGCACGTGGGCTGTGTGATGTTGGCGACGAAGGTCACCCGCGTGAGGAGCGGCAAAGCGTGGGTGCCGGCGATCAACTCGAGCTGTGAGCCAGCACGCCTACCAGCCAAGAAGGAGTTAGGAACACGGATTCCGTTAGACGAGAGAGTATCAGTATTGGAACTGAATGGAGAGCTGCAGCGTGAACGACTCCGCATTTGGTTGCGTGAACTGGGTGCCGTCGACGATCCCTTGGTGAGCGAAGACGACGTCAACATGGGGGAAAGGACGAGGACAGTAGGCGACTAGTGCTGCAATTACTGGGAGCATACAGGACGACGACGAAAAACACCCACGAATGTTCACCCGCCAGTACGCTCAATGACGAGCACCATATCGACATGGGTAACGCTGCACCCACAATGCTGAAGCGACGACGGATTGCACAGGCCGAAGACGAGGTAGTGGAGATCAATGTGCGCAAGATGCTTGCGGCAGATTTCATCGAGGAGGGCGAGGGTGCGCGCTTTTGTATTGACTATAGAACGCTCAATAAGGAGATCAACAAGGACGTGTATCCATTGCCGAGGATTGACGAAACTTTGGAGGCGCTTGGAGGTGCACTGCTGTTTACCACGCTCTACTTGGAGGCGGGCTACTGGCAGATACGGGTAGCTGCCAAGGACAAGGCTAAAACCGCGTTCACGACGAGCAGGGCCTGTACCAGTTCGTGCGGATGCCGTTCGGGTTGACGAATGCTCCGTTGACCTTCCAACGCATGATGAGCAGTGTATTACGTGGCCTTACATGGCTGACCTGTCTAGCCTAATCTAGTCTAAGCTAGATGATATCGTGATCTTTACCCGTGGTGGCATTGAGCGCCACGTGGTTTAATTGGCGTGCGTGCTGGAGCGTGTGGAGGCGGCGGGCCTCACGCTCAAACTGAAGAGGTGCGTGTTTGCAACTAGGAAGATCGAGTACTTGGAGCATGAGCTCAGCTCGGAGGGCGTTCGACCTTTGGAGCGTTTGGTGACGGCGGTAAAGACTTTCCACGGCCGGTTGACGATGTGGAGGCCAAGAGGTTCGCTCAGTTGGCGGGTTACTATCGACGGTCCATTGAGGGGTTTGGCTCCCATATCGCCCCGATGACGAAGTTGTTGCGCAAAGACGCACCATGGGAATGGACGCTGACGCAGAAATCGGTGTTTGGGTACGTGAAGGCGGCCCTGACGACCAAACCACTGCTCATCTTCCCTAATTTTGGATTGCCATTTCGGCTAGTGACGGACGCGAACAAAGTCGGTCTCGGTGCCTGTCTAATGCAGGACCACGGCGACGGGCTGCAGCCGGTGGCATACGCAAGTAAGGTGAACAGCGCAACGAAAGCCAATAACGGCATCACCGAGTTGGAATGTTTGGCACTTGTGTGGTCTATTAAACTGTTTAGGCTCTATTTGTACGGACGAACGTTCACGTGACCGACCACGCCGCTCTGAAGTGGTTGATGTCCAGCCGAACTTGACCGAGAAATTGCACAGATGGGCGCTGATCCTCAGAAGTTTGGTTTCGACGTGGTGTACAGACCGGGTAGCACCAACGTGATCACAGATACTCTGTCGAGAGCACCAGCGAAGGTAGCAGCGGCTGCAGGGAAACGATGGCGAGCTAGGAAACGTGTGGTGGACCACTGGACGACCGCTACTACCGAGGACGATCCGCACACGACGGCAGAAGTGAGAACGGCCAGAGCGTCGGCCTCTACGGACACGATGGACAGCATTGATGGCCCGGACAAAGTGATGGTGGTCGAGACGGCAGCCACTGCGGGCAGCGTGCCACCAGGTAAAACGTCGGATGTCGCACGTGAGTCAGGCGTGGCTATGGACGTGGTGGACAAGAGGTCGGACACGCGCGAGGCGAGCGCGACGAATGTGGTGGATGGACGAGGTGGACATTGCGGTAGATGCGACGGACGGCAGTAGAGCAAGTATTACTTCGGATGAACGGGCAGACGGAGTGCAAGCCGGTTAATGGCGCTTGATAAGGCGACCAAGCGGTATTGACGGGTGGGTCCGGATAAACAGGCGGTGGAAATGAAGACGAGCGTGGCAGATGTGCAGAAGGCGCCGGTGCCTACGATGGAAACGGCGGTGGGAACGACGGCCAGGCTAAGCTGGAGGAGGCGCGCGCAACCCACGAGGTGACAGAGGCCACGGGACCACTGACGCGTGCGACACGACGGCGACTGGAGGCGGAACGAGCAATGGCGACAGCTTCTTAAGGGCCAGGCAGTGTAGCGGTGACTGAGTACGAAGAGACCAAGGACGAGGACACCAAGGACGTGACGGAGACAAACAAGCCCACGGACGACGGTGGAACCGGCACTCTTGAGAACGGCGGCGTGTATGTCGGCTGAGCAAGGAGAACGTGCCGAGAAGCCGGGCACAGATGGCCAACAGCAGCGGTAGGTGGATTGGAAGTAGCTATGACGCTGAGCTCGATAGACGAACAAGCAAGCGAGACGACGATGGAGGCGTTGTCGTTGGCGGGACACAAGGATGGTGACGGCAAAGTGTCAGTGGCGACGCCGGAAGTGACGGACGCGCACGGTGAAGGCGAGCGACGCGTGTGGCCGATACGCGGTGACGACGGCATCGGGGTACCGATGCAAAAGACGACGTTGCAGGACACTCGTAGAGCTGGGCGTGAGCGGCGAAACGGTCCAGAGCCGATAACGCCGACAAGATGATCGTGGATGCGCAACTGCGCAGTAGACTGGTCCAACGAGCGAAGGAGGTGGGTGATTACCACATACTGAAGCCACCAGCTTGATCTTGAGGGAAGGCACTCTAGTATGAGGATCTGTCGCCATGTTAAATCTCCACATATCGAACATGTAGCAGACGACCCTCTATTCCCCTTCTAGCTCGGCTGACAAACCAAACTCAAAAAAGAGCCCGTTTTACCAGTCCCTCAGCATCCTCCTTAATCTCTTCGTGTGTGAGCTTCTCTGCTCTCGCATTCTCCTCCATCTCTACGGGATCACAATTTTCCTGCGTTGATCGTACAAGTTGCCCGAGTTGCTGGCTCACAAAATGTTTTGACCGAGGACAAATGCTTATTCCTCAGCGTTGATCACTAGGCATTTAATCATCTGTGTAGGAGTCACCGGACCAGCAGCAGTGTGGTTGAGAATCCTTACTTTAATCACATGCCTTGCTCTAATTATCTTGTCTCCCACTGCCCGTCCCAGGACTGGTTGCTCTAGAGGTTGCAGCACCACGTGGTGTCTAGCCGAACAAGTGCTTCTGCCTTAAAATTGCTAATGATCCTATGTCGGAGCCGGACCCCAGAGAACGGTATCCGCAGCCCCCCGTTGATGAGCATGCTCCTGTCGTCCTCCACTACACTCTTTGATCCGCTTGGCACGCTTCGTATTACGTTTAGACTGACCCTTTTGCTCCTCTCGATGTGAGCGAAGCAGAACGCGTTTTCCATCTTCCTTGCTTTGGGGCACTTCGAGACATAATGTGCTTCGCTATATTTGAAGCAGCCATTGTCAGGACCCTCACCCTCACTGGGTCTCGAATCTCTCGCAAAATTATCTTTGGCAACCCGAAATTTACCGGGGTTGGTCAGTTGGTCTTCGTCTTTACCACTGCGTGCATGCTGTAATCGAACATTCCTGCGCTGGTGACCATTGGCTTGCAGGCGAGTCGGCATGACAGCTTGTCTAACCTTTTTTCAGCTACTGTACTCCTGGTTTTGTTCCAACGCCATTCTCTCCACAAGATCAAACAGTTCAACTCATCTGCCGCCTTGTTCTGGTACTTGATGACCGACTTTGTGACGACATCCGGTAGGTGCGGGGCGCCCTACTCGGAATGGAAGGAGAGATGCATCTCTGCGGCAAGAGCCTCCTCCTAGCCCTTCAGTGCTTCACGCACGACTTTTCGCCACCGCTTCCGGCAGCGACTCGAGACTTATTATACTCAGTCTTCACGTTGACGGCGCCCAGCGCCCGATCCGTGCGTTGCTGGACTCCGGCGCGACGAACAACTTTGTTCGCGCCGACAGATTATCGGTGTTGCCGCCAACCACGCGCATCAGCGAAGGTCCAGGCCACATGGTCGTCAAATACGCTGACGGACAGCCGCGTCGGATGCCCCGACGCTCGGCCGCCTTCGCGTATGCATTCGACGGGTTCTCCAGCTCGGACGACTTCCTGGTGATCGAGTTGAGCGGCTCATTCGACTGCGTCTTCGGCATTCCATGGCTAGTGCGTCACCAGCCTCACATCGACTGGCTGGCCCGAACTGTTCGGCCACGCGATATCGATGTCAACGCAGTACTGGCGTACCTGAGCGGTACGCCCAACCTCTGGCCACACGTTGCTGTCATGGACCCCGACTCCATGACCACCATTGCACTTGAAGAGAGCGATGGCCCTTCATACGCAGCCAGTGCTCCAGCAACTTGTGCCGGTCCTGAGTCGGAGCCTCAGGGCGTTTCCGATGTGGTCGAGCTGAGTCTCCCATATCTTTGTGAGCAGTGGCTCCCACCTCGTGAAGCGGTTGAGCGTGAGCTCCTGCCCGCG